AGCCTGCTTTCTTATAGAACCCAGAACTGCCACCAGCCCAGAGGTGATCCAGCCAGAATGGGCTTTGCCCTGTGTCTGCAACTGATGGAGGCCATTGATGTGCCCTCTACTCAATGACTCTTGCTTATATAGCCACCACAACCCCACTAAGCAAAGGATTACTCCTGCTCCTTAATGGATAAGCATTTAACACTCAGAATATGTAGGTAGCTTGGCCAGGGTTTTACAGCCAGTCTATGAAGGAGGGAAGTCTCTAGTTTCCTCGTAGGTATCATCAGTGACACGCTTCCATGCAAGGGACAATAATTAAAAACTAGTTTGGGCTATCAATGTACATACCAGACCGTCTCAGACTGCTCCAGGTAAGCTGTCACATCAAAGCCCGTGTGAGTTGTATGTTGAAACTCTGTCCTCACTTCACAAGACAAGGCTGAACGATCCAGAGATCACTGCTCGTCCCGGCTAAATAGGTGGATGACACGTCTGAACACATGCCTCCCCCAAAGGTCAGGAGCTAGCTCACACCGCATTCCCTACACTGCAGACCCACACTGCACTGCATTCCCTGCAGACCCACACTGCGCTGCACTGCATTCCCTGCAGACCCACACTGCGCTGCATTCCCTGCAGACCCACACTGCCCTGTATTCCCTGCAGACCCACACTGCGCTGCATTCCCTGCAGACCCACACTGCCCTGCATTCCCTGCAGACCCACACTGCACTGCATTCCCTGCAGACCCACACTGCGCTGCACTGCATTCCCTGCAGACCCACACTGCACTGCATTCCCTGCAGACCCACACTGTGCTGCACTGCATTCCCTGCAGATCCACACTGCCCTGCATTCCCTGCAGACCCACACTGCCCTGCATTCCCTGCAGACCCACACTGCGCTGCACTACATTCCCTGCAGACCCACACTGCGCTGCACTGCATACCCTGCAGACCCACACTGCGCTGCACTGCATTCCCTGCAGACCCACACTGCGCTGCACTGCATTCCCTGCAGATCCACACTATACTGCATACCCTGCAGACCCACACTGCCCTGCATTCCCTGCAGACCCACACTGCGCTGCACTGCATTCCCTGCAGATCCACACTGCCCTGCATACCCTGCAGACCCACACACCGTGCCATATACTCTACATACACGCACACTGCACTGATGCCTGGCTAATGCTAGCCCATTCCTGCTCCAGTCCATTTGAGCACAGGCTGACTCATTAAATACACATCTGTTCCATCCAAGCATGCACACACATGCAGCTCAAATGAGCAGAGACTCACATCAATGTGTCCCGTGTTTCCTTAGGCATCTACTCCAGAACTGTAGCCCTTTTACAGCATAAGGAGCCCCCCTCCACCTCCACAGTCCGCAAGGCAGTGAGTTTAGATCTGATCCCCTGCCTGGCTTTCTGAGCCAAGGCATGGGGAAAACGAATCTTTGTGGGAAGCCCAGTGCTAACATATCACTTCTCATAACACACAATGTGCCTGGAGTGAAAAGGCCGGCATACGACCTAAACATGAAAACCTGAGCTCAGCCTGTAAGTGGTGGGACCCTGCCACCGCTACCAGCAACACACAGTGCTTCTGAGAAATCAGAGAGTGGATGGCTCCCTAGTCTTAGTGCCAACCCATGCTCCAGGGCCTCCCAGACCTCACCTGGGATGAGAAGGGTCAGGGGTGAGTCTCTGTATTCCTGTGTTTTATACATGCAACAAAATATAAGAGGTGCCTGAGGCAGACATTGTGGCTGGTGGCTTCTTGGCAAAAACACCTAAGGGGGCTCTCTGACTGCTGTCTCAGCAGTGAGTTCTCTCAGGGGAACAGTATGCTCTACCAAGCATGTCCCCTGGGAGCAGAGTAGCACCTGCCCCTGGGAAGGCAGCTGGCATGGTCACCAATGCCCTGAGTTCTCTCAGCTGCATCGTTAGCTCTGGAAGACACTGGGGAGGGTCACATAAATGTCTCACGTGAGCTTTTATTTCTCAGAAGAACCCCAATGTCTGTGTCCCATTCCACTTATGCTCATTAAACCCTGGTCCCCAAAACCCCCCAAAGTAACCCAGACTCCCCTAAACTGGTCCTTGCAAACCCAGTGACCGTTCTATTCACAGGGCTGGAAAGACTGTTCTAGAACTACAGAGCAAACAAGAAAGGGCAGCGCAAGGTCCCCAAATGCTTCATAGCCACAGAAGAAGGTTCAGAACAAGTTCAGCCTAGCACTGGGATAAGCACACAGCCAAGACTGGTATCGCCATTACCAATCTTCAGCCCCAGAATTTCCTCCATTTCTGGTAACTACATACTCGGGGAACAAGATGTCTGTTGTAACAGGGGCTCCTTCATTGCACCCAGACTCTGCACTATGGGGTCCCAGTCATCTAACATCCACAGCCAACAGTCACAGCTTCCAGATTGGTGGCATTCAGCCATAGGCCAAAGGTGTGCAGCGTGCAGATCCTGCAGAATGCGTGAGAAGCAGAAGAGAGGATTCCTGGGTCCATTCTCTCGCATAAGCCACCAGATTCCAGGGACCCTCCATACTCCTGGTCATGTTATGGACACACAAGCCTCAGCCTTGAGGAGAGTGACTCAGACGTGCCCAGGGCCACGGGGTGGGGAAGAATGCTGTCAGGAAACTTAACGTTTGTCCATAGATAATCAAACAGAAAAACAAAATGTATTGGAGCAATGTTCCGCACTAAGGCTGGCTCCTCATCACCACTTAATCCTTCCCGGTACCTCTTCTGTTTCTTGAATTGAACCCCTTACCACTGTGGTTTCTGAGGTTTTCAAAGTCTTGCTCGCCGACGTATACATGACTAACCTTTCACTCTGTAATTACAGCTGCAAGTCCACCAGCTCAACTTGATCAGTCCCCATCACGTCCACAGAGAGTGTGGACCTTATCACGGACCCACTACTGCAGCCAAAGACACCCACTCTGTCTGTTTCTTCTATCTCTGTGTTGTTCTGCCCTGTCTCCATTTGCTTCTGTAAACCTTCCCATCATCTGGACTGGGAAGAAATCTCCCAGGCTGTAGTACTGGGGTCACCCCTTCTCTGTACCAGACCAAGACTTGCTTTGCTGTATGCTGTATGCTCCTTCCTCTGCTTGGGATCAGCAGGGGTGAGTGGAGCCCTACTGTGTTCATGGGTGGTCCCTCATGTCTCTGCCTTTTCTGAATCCTTTTGTGATTCTTACTGAAGTCACTGGAAGGTTCGCTCCTGTGTGACAAGGAAATTAACAGCTGGGGTCATGTGCCCACCAGGGCCTTCAATGGAAGGAGGACCGGTGTCAAAGCTTTGAACTTTGAACCTGCACACATACTAGGAAGACTTCCGGTCAAGGGACACCACTTCATTCATTTCCAAGAAAAAAAAAGTCAGTTCTCCCTGGGTGAAATGCCCAACCCTCTTCCAGAAGGAACCCCTCTAATTCCTCTTTTTTTAAAAAAAGGGAAAGAGATTCACTTATAGAAACCTTTTCATAATTTATTTGCTGTTGTTAATCTTCAGTATAAAAACGAAGCTCTAGCTAAACGTAGGGTTTCAGTGGTGAAAACTTGACCTAATGAACAAATAAATAAATATTTACAATCTTTGGCAAGAACAATGTTTCATTAACGTATATGAGAAGCTTTTTTTAAAAACTACATAAATAATTTACAAAAATAATACGGTACACTGAACGTATTCACATCGTCCCCACCACCTTGTACCATTCGGCCAAATGCCCCAAGTGAAAGCCTAAATGGTTCTTCACATCCCCACAGTCTGAAGTCTCATGTGGGCCCTGGGGATACAGTCCCACAGAAAGTAAAAAGTGCAGGATAGCAAAACACAAGGAAACTCACCCTCAAAGACATTAACACAAATTACTGCGTCAAGACAAATCGGGGAACTCGAAGTCATGGATTCTTTCAATCTGACTTAGAAATGCAACTGCCATTACTAGAAAAGGGATTCTGCTCCACCACCACCCCGGTCCCCATCAGAGGGACAAGATCTCCTCCCACTGAACTTGTGTGGAGTGAAAGAGACATAACACATCTGTTACGGTGTGACTGATGAATGGGTATGTCTGGGGGAGGGGAGAGGTGTTGTTTTCTTCAGGATTAAAATAAAAAGAACCTATACATAGCAAATAGAGAATAGTAAAAAGAAAATGAATTAAAATTGTTGCATATTAAGGGCCCATTTTGTCATGACATAGGGCCTTGTATTTCAACCAGCATATATTTTGGTGTGTCTTTATATCATGATACCCTTGCCATATGGTTTTTTCTAGAAATTTTTCTATGTATTTGTTACTTTGTATGCTTAAAATAAGTTATTAGTGAGTGGGGCTACATTCCAAATTTCATTTAATAAATATTAACAAAACAGTTGCATTTGGAACCTTAATGAACTATGCTCCCAAATTAGGCAAGAACAACTTTTGCATTATTCAGAAGCCTAGACTAGGAGCAGGGTACCAAAGTGCATTTGCTAACTGATCTCCCAGTCTGTTTCCTAGTAACAGGAGCAGAAAAGGATGCCCCAGATGGAGATTCCAGCAGCCATTGAGCAGAACACCTTGACTTCTAGCCTAGGCTCTCTACAAGGCTGACCCAGGCAGCCATCTTAACAAGATGTGCTTGACTCCGGTGAGCTTTTGTTCTGAAAGTTCTGAAAAGCCCACAGTTGGAGCCCTGAAAGATTCCCTTTTCAAGGACACACTGTCTTTGTCTTTGTCAAGTCAGCTGTAATTATGGGCCAAGAGAAGTAAGACATGCTTTTCATCTAAGTTTGCAATCATTTTCTATGTTCTGATCAGTCAGTGTTTAATATCACACTGGACAAGGGGCCACAGCCATGTGACTATCTTCTGCAGCCAATTTCGCCTGATCTTTCTTTGTAATCAACCTTACAGGATTTGTGTGTCATTGTAGAACAGCACGAATCCAAGGATAGTGACAACATTAAGCACTGGAAATAGGTGAGCAGTATTTTTCATGCTTAATTTATGAGAATGACTTATACACAATATTCCCTTCGACTCCATATACACATAAATACTGCAAGTAATTACATTTCACATGTAAACGTCATTCTTTTTTTTTTTTTAAACAAACAAGGAAAGGCAATGCAGCAACACGCTTGGTTTTCACTCCACAGAGAGTCTCATAGCTCGTCAAACTTCTCCCAGTAGCAGGCTAGATGCTCATCGTGCAGCTCCCTTGATCGCTTGTCATTTGAAGGCACTTGGACTTGGTGCTGATGAAGGAGGTGAAGATCCACTGAGTTAAGGTCAAGAAACAGGAAATGCCGAAAGAGAGAGAAGCTGCATGTATCAAGATGGACCGATGGACTTGTCTAGGAGACAGTGTTTGTAGCACATTGATGGAACTGTAGCCTTGCTCTCTAGACATCTAGAAGAGAAGGAACAATGGGATTAGGAAGGAACAACCATATTATTATGTTTCTTTGTATGTTGATCTCATACCCTGTAGCCCAGACTGGCCTAGAACTTGCTATGTAGCTCCGACTGGTCACAGATGAAGCAATCTTCCTGCCTTGGGCTCCGAAGTCCTAATATTACATGTATCTGTTTTACCTATAACCTCAATTACCATCATATTAATTTTAAGATGCATTACATAAAGTAGATGAGTAGAGGAGACTGACAGATGACTGGTAAGTATTTGGATAATGAGTAGATGAGCGGATGGATGGACAGAAAGATGGATGGGCGTTTGGATGGACAGAGGGGTAAACAGGAGTTGGGAATGGTTGGTACATAGATGGATAGATTAATGAATGGACACATGAAAAAAGAAATCTCTTTAATGGAGCTCTATTATAAGAAAAAAGCCTTCTGTGGAAGGAGAGAAAATAATGTTCTTGTCTTTGCTTCTCTTTGATTTGTGTATCATTCTCAAGGTGTGAGCATTGAGAAATATTCCTGAGCTTTCCTGATTTCCTCTGAAGAAGGCACATCATTAGACCAAACTGGAGTCCACTTTGCTTTAAGGTTTATACTTTGGTTCAGATAAACTTCTAGCAGTAAAATGAAGAAGTAGGCTCCTTTCTTCCCTCACTTCTTCCTTCTACCACCCTTCCCTCCTCCCCTTTCCCTTCTTCCTTTCCTTCCCTCTTTCGATTTTTAGTAAAGATAGTAATCTAAAATGCCCCTAGAAACTCAGAAAGTATGGAAACCGGAAGCTGTAGGACTCAGTATAGGGGTAGATTGCCTGTTGTCAACTACCAAAAAATATTTGTCCTACCAAAGACATTCAGATTCAACCGGGGGAGGGGGGAGAAGGGAGAGAGAGAGAGAGAGAGAGAGAGAGAGAGAGAGAGAGAGAGAGAGAGAGAGAGAGAGAAGAAAGAAAGGAAGGAAGGAAGGAAGGAAGGAAGAACATAAGTTGCCTAAACTATATCTTTGCTACTGGAAGGGCAGAAGCCCTAGCTCATCATTCATTTCCCTGGAAGGAAGACTCTGTAGACAGAACAGTGTCTGTCAACTCCTCCTGGTCCTGTGCACTCACCTCTGCATTCATACTTAAGGTCCGAGAAGTAGACCATTTCTTGGGAGAATACAAACAGGCCCAGCCGTCCACCAGCATAGGTTTGGTCATAGATTGGTCCTGAATCAGCCATGACTTGCTTTCCTTCATGCACTAAGACTCTAAGACAGGTAAGTAAGTGTAAATGTTAAAAGAGAACTTGAACTCTGCAGCACATTCACCAGTGGCTGATTCTACATCAAGTGGTTGATCAAGACGAATCTACTCTCCCTGTTTGGTGTTAAAGACGAAAGCATGGCCTTGAATATGCTGACCAAGAGTTCTCTGCTCTGCCACCGAGCTATACCCAGTCCAACCCAGAGGCATCTGTTGTCTCATTCTCTGTTCAGGGTTTTAGCAACTGGGTCAGGCTTGCTTCCCCTGTAGGAACACTGAGTCCTATGAGGCAGCAGGGGCTGGGAAGCTCACTTCTTCTCACAGGCAAGGCTGCTGCACCCTTGGTGTGTGTGGCTATAACCAGTAGGTTGCCATTAAGAGCCAAGGCAGTGTGCAGAGTGTAGGGTATTTCCTGATTGCCTGTAGGGGGTGCCTGCCTGTTTCTCTTCCTCGATTACAACTCTCTTAGCTTTCATTTTCCATGAAAATCCAGAGTCTCATCTTTGTCCCGTTGTAAGAGCTGTCTGAGAGTGGGGACTACACTCGCAGCCCAAGTGGGAAGTGATGTCCCAGAATTCCCTAATGGAGCACATGCCAAATGGTGCCCCTTTGCAGAGACATCATACCCTGCACACCACCTTACACCTCACCTGCCCAGACCCTCAAGGATTTGCAAACAACAGACAACCAACAGGCATGTGGCTCAGTGGTAGAACATTTGTTTATCATATATAAAATCCTAGACTCTAACCAGATGGGTGTGGAAGGGTTTTCACCCACTCAACAAGTATCTTAAGACATAGGTTCTTTTCAAGATTTTTAAAGTAAGTGATGTATATATTAAGAATGCAAGATAGAAAAGAGTTCATATGGAATTTTTATCTGTTGATACTCTCTCATGGGAAGGAAGACAGAGAAAGCAGATTGTCTAACCCAATGGAAAAAATCAGTCTGTCTATCCAACGAGAAGCAGGCTATCCAGCCATTGAAAACCCATCTGGACATCCAATGGAAAAGCAGACGAGTAATCCAATGGGAAGAGATCTGAGGGACCTATCACTGAACAGAAATGTTCAACTGCCCTTACCTCATGTAGCCTGTCTTAGGCCTGTGAGTCAAGTGCCACCTGTAGGCGGTATAGTCTTTCCAACCAATGTTTTTGGGGTCATGCCATAGCGTGCGCACCTGTGGAAAACCGTCATTGTTGAAGGAAGAGACATATGCCTTTCTACCATTCCCCCCCACACACTGGACTGTACAAAGTAAGATTCCACTTGCTATACTACCTCTCTGGTATATTTTGTTTTTTATGCTATATTTTCAAACACTGTATATCATTTACCCTACTATGGGGTACTACAATAAGCACCTAAATCCACTGCATAATGTGTTACAGTTAATACCAACAGCATGAACACTTGGCCCAGACAGTCATGGGTCTGGAACCAGATCTTCTCTTCTTGTGTGTGAAATTATGAACAGGACACTGGCCCTGGCAAGTACTGTCTCCGTAAGAGACTAGACATGTGTCCAAGCTTGTCAACTATGACGGCAGAAGCACTGGGCATTCTGTGTTTAATTAAGTAGGTATTCAACGCCAGCTATCAAAATGATTTCTACTTGATTAAAAATTAACCGAGAACATAATTTAAAATTAATGAGATTGTAATGTCTGTCTGGAAGAGGTCATCAACCGCCCAGTCCCTCACCTGGCCTTCTGTGTTCCCTGTGTGCCAAAGGGCGTTCCTCAGGTGCTCGCCGGTACCAGTCGTGGAGTTTACCACTTTGAGTGACACGCCAGAGTAGCCGTAAGCCCGACTTGGCTTGTCTTCCCAGTAGGTCTGGGTAACTTGCTTCCACATCACCACATAGAAGCGGCTGCTTGACTGATAGCCAAAGACGAAGCCGGCATAGTCATCATCCCGGTCGGTGTTGACGTAGAATGTGCCGCTGAAGTCCACAGACCCAAACTCATCAAAACCTGGATACAGAGGAAACATGCATGGTCTGGAGGCCCATGGAAAAGCACCTTAGGGACCCTCAGGGGTCCATGTCACAGAAACAAGGGTCTAAGGAGCTTAGATTGGGTCTGCCACATGCACGTTACCGAGATTATCAAACGTTACAGGACTTGTAACCCAACCAATAGTTCTGTTGGGCTCCAGAACACAGAGGCCCCATTTCAGACAGTCCATAATACGAAGCGGCTTACTGGACATCAAATAGACATGAGAGGCAAGCCTGGGCTTTCTCCCAGAGTCCCTTACCAGGGAGTCCCTTAGAAGGGAGACTTTTCTACACACCAAGGAAGAAGGGTAAGGCTACCAGAAAAATCACCCTGAATCCTATCCACATGGCCTCACCTGACCACTCAAAAGCATCACCTCACTTGGAGTCGCAGGCTCACCTACAGCAATGCCAGGATCTGAGTTCGCTGTCTGCACCAACTCTTTGCCTTGGTGACGAATTACCCAGTTGGGGTCGATTTGTGTAGTTCCCTTGGGATCCAGAGGGACCATCTGGAAGTTCCTGAAGTCTGTCTCAGTGATAGCATTGTTCTCGGGGCACACGTCGTCAATATCTGGGACGCTGTCATTGTCAAAGTCATCTTTACAGATATCGCCTCGGCCATCGCCTGTGGATAAGGAAGACACACACACACACAGGCGGGTGATTTGCACTTGTTTCTCCATAAGCAGAGACCTCTGGGCCCCTAAGATCTGAGGCTGAGCACCTTGCAGATCACTATGCATTAAGAGTCAACGGCCTCCCAAACATCCAGCTTGTAAAGCTGTGAAGATTTTGGAAACACCCCAGCAGACCCTGCAGCTGAGGATGATAGAGCTTTGAGGTCCTAGCAAGAGCTTTACCCGCCATACTCAGAGGCGGCTGACAAAGTCTCTCTAAGTTCATCTCTGACAGTCATTCTTAGTAACCAGAACCGTCTTAATTCACTTGGCATTTAAAATTGAGCCTTTCCAGCACACAAGATTTTTCCCTAGGGAGACTGAGCCCAAAGTGGTTGGTCTGCAAAGGGGATAGGTCATGCCGTGACCTTACAGCTGCCCTACCCTCGGCCACAGAGAGATGCCCCTAAGCAGAGGCAACGAGGTAAACAGGGCACTCTGTTGTAACCTCTTGTTTCAAAAGGAAGGAAAGAAACCATATTTGATACGAATGACATCTTCGTTCCCCCATTCTCCAAGCTAGTTTCCAGTTCTATATCTGCCATCACAGGCTCCCCTACTGTGTAACAAGCATAATTAGGTGTACAGGCCTTTTCTTTCCTTGAGACAGGGAGAGCCTTATGGGGCTTACCTCGGGGTGACTTTGAACTTCTGGGGGGGGGGTCACACTTGTGCCTGCTGAGTTATAGGTACCCACCCCTAATCTTTGTCTGTGCACTGCTCAGTTTCATGCACACCAGGCAAGTGCTCTACTAATTAAGCTACACCCCTAACCTCAGTAAGGGCATCTTAAAAGTGTTAATAGTGTCAGCATAGGTATGCCAACCTCTCCTCCTTCCCAGCCCCCCCTCCAAGATGAGTCAAATCCCACCTCCCCCTGTCTGCTGGGGCCTTCTGCATCAAGCTGGGAGCTTTCTGCTGAATACCCTCGTTCCTGTGCAGGGAAGATTCCAGAGCTGCCCTTGGGCCTCGGCCATTCTTTTCACGTGCTTGTGAGTCATGCTGGCTCAACACCCCGGGACTCCTGGTCTCCATTTGTTCAGGATAAGTGTCTTCCAAATGGCACTTGGATCGTGCTGGCCTTTGGGAGGGAGTTATTGCCAGCCTATCAGCAAGAGCAGCTGTGTGTGCTTTGTTATTCAGGGTTGTAGTCCTTTCTGGAGTTTGCACAGTTACAGACCACAGATTTACACAAGCCCTTCCATCTCACACCTTCCCTATTTTAGTTACCAGATACAAAACAATACACACACCACCACCCCCCATCCCGTCATGGGCCGCATACAGTGAACCTTTTCTTCTTTCTAAGCAACTGCCAAAGGTTCTCAAAGCCACACACAAACACACCTCTACTGTTGGTGGAATGGTAAGTGCACTAGAAGAAGCTGAAACCACCAAGCAGGCTAGACAGAAAAGCAGCCATCCTGCTGACTTCTGAGCTTTAAAGTGGCTTTCATAACCAGAGAAGTTCTGCCTCTGTGGAACTGCTCGTGCAGTTTGCATTACACATACGAGCCGAGGGAGGCACCCACCATCTGAGTCTTCCTGGTCTGGGTTGTAGACAAGTCTGCAGTTGTCCCTGTCATCTGGAACACCATCATTGTCGTCGTCAGAGTCACAAGCGTCACCCTTGCCGTCATTGTCATGGTCAGCCTGATTGGAGTTGGAGATGTACGGGCAGTTGTCTTGGTTGTTCTGGTGGCCGTCATCATCTATGTCTTCGTTGTTGTCGCACTGATCTCCAACGAGGTCATTGTCCACATCCGTCTGGAGGACAGAGCAGGAAGGAGGTGAACACCACGAATACGCCTTAAGGAAGGACATGAGGGCTATGGTGCTAGCTTGGAGACTGACCCCACAGTGTTACAGGCCAGTACTGTGGGGCAAGGTGTGAAAATGCAGACTCACTTACTGTCAACACAGACAGTAATCCAGACACCTGGGTTCAGGTTCTCCCAGCTTGTGCCCTGTCCCATAGGGGACTTACTGCAGTTACCTACCAGTCAACAATCACTGGTACTACTTTTCCCACCATTTGTTGCTGTATACTCTGTAGATCTTATTTCTAGGTCACATCCTCCTTGCCCCTTCCAAAGACAAGCCTGGAAATTTATCTGGTTCTGGGTTTGCCTAAGGGTAGCCATGGAGACAAATTCCCCCATTTCCTCACTTGGCCTGTGGCCACCTAGATACACAATGGGTTCTTTAAGAGGTCACAGCTGAGATTATAGAAAAGTCTATGTTGTCATCTTGGCAGAGCAGATGAGAGCCACACAGGAATATCTTGGTGGAGCGGTTTGAGGATGTGGAACGCCCTGCTCTGAGATGCAGGGCATCCTCACAGGCTCATCTCAAGGCGGCAGCTGAGGATCACAGATCCCTGTTGGGAGACATTCCATCACCTGGTCGGGGTTGTGCATCAGGGGGCAATTGTCACAGTGGTCACCCACGCCGTCGCCGTCCGTGTCTCTCTGGTCAGTGTTGTAGACGTAGGGACAATTGTCCCTTTCGTTGAATACATCTGTTGGCGGGAGAAGCAAAGTGATGATACGCGGAGTTTGGGGAAAGCATGGCATTTTCCCATCCTAAGATACAGACAAACCTTCACTAAGGAAATGGCAAAAATGTAGAGATTAATAGATTCATGGCAGAGTGTATGATATATTTCCCATTAAAATTTGAATTCCCAGTGACAGTATGTCTCAAAAAAAATGCTAATTCTCTTAGCCTAGAATTCGTTGTTGTTTAGAATTCTCTGGGAGTGATGCTGCCCAATGTGAAGAGGGTGAATGTGGCATATCTCTGTGCTGGCAGCACTGGCTAATCCCACTTACACATAAGAAAATATCTGTTAAATCTACAGGAACACAGTACGCTGTGGGTGATGCTGCCCCCTCCTCCACATACAGTAGGAGAAAAGCAAAGGTGGAGATAGATTGGCAAGGGTTTTAACAATCTGAAAGTAGGTAACAAAGTTCACCAGTACTGGATAAATAATAATTTAAAAAAGACACAGAGGCCAAGTGAAGGGTCATAACTAGCAAATCAGAAAGAAGGGACCCTGGACACTGGCCTTGCCTCAGCCCAAGGAAGAGAAGGATGCTAGGGGAGGGGTGAAGGACAATAGAAAGGACCCTTAAAATGACCGGGTATAAGTGTAGTGCTGTCTTGTTTATACTGTAACAAATAAAGCTTGCTTGAAGATCAGAGGGCGGAGCTAGCACCAGCTAACCATAGAGGTCTGGAGGTTTGTATAGACAGACAGGAAGTGAGATGGCTGGGCAGAGAGAGGCATATAGGCAGGAGGAGACAGGAACTCGCTCTTTTCAGTCTGAGGATTTCGTAGAGATAAGGGCTCCAGTGATTGCTGCTCTGCTCTCTGACCTTTCAGCTTTCACACACACTCCAATATCTCACTCTGGGCTTTTACTATTGAGACCAATTAGAACTCGCGCCACATATAAGAACCTGAGACCCCAGCCAGGTTACAGATGCACCAGCCTACATCAGGATGCAATGAGCTACCTGCTGACAGCATCAAGCTCTGAGAAGGCAGAGTGGTCCAGCCTGTCCTGAGGATGAGGCTGGCGGCAGAAGCTCACTGGAAAGCTCTACAAGAACACATGCTTTGAGATGGGTCCAAATGTCAGGATAGAGTGAGTCAAAGTGAATGAGGGGGACTCCAGGCTGGGAAGGGGTTAGGAGAGTGAGACTCACAAGGCACACACACACAAGTGGAGCAGAGCAGTGATCTGAGTGTCTCCTGGCTCTCCAGTGACCCCTGAGACAGGAGAGGCCACCAGGTCTCAGGGTCAAATGTCAACCTGCAGTGGCGTGACTTGAGAGCTCTCAGGGTAACACCCATTTCACTCCACCCGCTGAGGGACCCGGATCCTGTAACACAGGTGAGACAAACAGCTCTCCTCAAGCCTTTCTCAGAGCAGACAGGTGAAGCAAGGATACAGTTCTCAGATGTTGGAGATTGAGCTTTCGCTGCAGAAGGCTCAGGGAAGGGAGTCAGCAACAACAGCTGTGCAGCTGGCATCAAGGGAAGAAGATGCGGGAAATTGTGGTTTTCTAAGAATGAGCCCGAGGCAAGCTATTTAAGGGATCAATGTCATAAGATTAAAAGGTTGAGCTCCTCCAAAAAGTTGAGAATTGTGAGTGCAGTTGGCCCTGGCATACGCGGAGGGTTGCTACCAGGATACACGGACTGTCCAAACCCATTACACAAAATGGTGCATATTTACAAACAATCTACACACTTAAAAGTCATCTCTATACTATAATTTTGTTGTTTTGGTTAACGACGAGGTAAAGGTCTAGCCGTTAGCAAGGAGGCCCTGTGGGTAAACGTGCTTGCAACCTAAGCCTGATGACCCAAGGTTGATCCTCAGAAACCAACAATGAAACAAAACAGACAAACAAAACCCAGATGCTGTGATGAGCATCTGTAATCCCAGCACCTCTGAGGCAAGATGAGCAGAAATCACAGGACAACAGTCCCAGGTCGTCTGGAGTGCAATGAGACACAAACCAGAGAAGTCCTGTTTCAAGAAGGTGGAAGGAGAGAGAGCCAACTCCCGAAAGTTGTCCTCTGACACCCACGTGCACTGGGCAGCACCCTCCCCTCCAGACACCCTCAGACATACATAAATGAACTTTAACGTCTGTACGTGCTTGTTAGGTGCAATCTCTTTTTTGTTTTTTAACTCTCTCTACGTTGAGTCGGTGTGTGGCTGTGGACCTGAGTGCACAAAGTGTGCCCACTCACTTATAATCCTTTTCTGAGTCGCTAAAAGAAGCAGAGCCACTGACCATCACCATCGATGTCCACAGAGCATGCATCCCCTTCACCGTTGTTGTCCGTATCGATCTGTGCTGGGTTGTGCACGTAAGGGCAATTATCGCAGCGGTCTCCGACCTCATCCTTGTCGTAGTCTAGCTGACGGGGATTGAAGAGAAGCTGGCAATTGTCCTAGAAACACCAGAAAAGGGACTTCAGAAAGGACACAGAGCATGTACCAGATTGCTGCAAGAACACAAGCTAGTCAGCTCTCCACATGCTCCTTTTCAATTGCAGTTGCATATGCAGCTGTCCTGTCCCATAATGGTTAAGACTTCCTATTGCAAATAGGCTGTTTCATCTACTTCATAGGGAAGCCAAACGGTGAGAGCATAGGTGAGTGGGTGGATGGGTGGATGAATGGGTGGGTGGATGGGTGGGTGGATGGGTGGATGGATGGATGGGTGGGTGGATGGGTGGATGGGTGGATGGGTGGATGGATGGATGGATGGGTGGGTGGATGGATGGAAGGATGGATGGGTGGATGGATGGATGGATGGATGGGTGGGTGGATGGATGGGTGGGTGGATGGATGGAAGGATGGATGGGTGGATGGATGGATGGGTGGGTGGATGGGTGGGTGGGTGGGTGGGTGGATGGATGGATGGGTGGGTGAGTGGATGGATGGATGGGTGGGTGGGTGGATGGATGGATGGGTGGGTGAGTGGATGGATGGATGGGTGGGTGGATGGGTGGGTGGGTGGGTGGGTGGATGGATGGATGGACGGATAGGTGGGTGAGTGGATGGATGGATGGGTGGGTAGATGGGTGGGTGGATGGATGGATGGACGGGTAGGTGGGTGAGTGGGTGGATGGATGGGTGGGTTGATGGGTGGGTGGGTGGGTGGGTGGATGGATGGATGGACGGGTAGGTGGGTGAGTGGGTGGATGGATGGGTGGGTGGGTGGGTGGATGGATGGGTGGGTGGGTGGGTGAGTGGGTGGATGGATGGGTGGGTGGATGAATGGGTGGATGTAGAGAAGAGAGGAGAGGACAGGAGATGAGAGGAGAGTGGATGGGTGGATGGGTGGAGAAGAACACTGAACTTCCCCATCAGAAACCCATCCTCAGGGGGCTCGTGAGCCAAATGTTAAACCTTCTGCATGTAGCACTTGTCACTTGCCTCAAGCACAGCTCAGCAGAAGCTAAAAGGAAAGCTATTAAGGTCTTGTTAAAGAAAGTGACATTACTGAGCAGTTTCTGCATTGTACAACCCATGCACCAGCTAATCGGCATTTGCAGTGGCAACACTCTCTACTGGTGGCACTGGAAACTGTGTCAGTAGACCAGCCTTGGGGAGACCATTGGTTAAGAGTTCTGGTCTCTGCCAACTTCTCCATGTTTGAGAGCAGAGCCCGCCCTACCTTCTCATCGCTCACACCGTCATTGTCATCGTCCTCATCACAAGCATCTCCAATTCCATCTTTATCAAAATCCTCCTGCCCAGAATTTGGCAGCTTGGGGCAGTTGTCCTGTGATTTGGAGAGGAATAAAAACCATGAAAGCATTCCAAAGTGACCTTCTTTTCCAAAACACGGAAAAATAAAACAAGACTCATGAAGCCAAGGATATAAATATCTGATACAAGTCCTCAGATAAAAGCAGAAGAACTGTGGTCAGAGCCAGCTGGCCTAGATGTGTGCTGTGCTTCTAAGTCCTACCCTGGGAATTAAGCCACTGCTGCACTCCCGAGTAGACAAAAGGAGCCCTGCTCTGAGCTCAGGATCCCCAGGAAGGGATCAGTCACCTGGGAGAACAGAGGAGGGTGAGGGGGTTCCTGTCCCAGGAGAGATGGAGCAGCACATGCTTCGAGTCTGGTTCCTTCCCACAGCTGCAATGAACTAAAAGCCTTGGTATGCGTGCAAGCTCAGCCCTCACTGGACAGTAGTGAGAGAGGAAGAAACCTCCTCATAGGTGTGCATGGTGTAAGCGTTGCAATTCCTGCACTTAACAAACACTTAGAAGAAGGCAGGGCTAGCTGCAGTCCAGCTTGTCACAGTTGATAGGCATGTGCACTGTGCTAAGATCCAAACCTGAGCCACAGGAACCAACTGAGGGACTAAAGGGAAGTGCAGTTTTAGTTTCAAAACACTGATGCCTTTCCGTGTGTGTGTGTGTGTGTGTGTGTGTGTGTGTGTGTGTGTGTGTGTACACATGTGCATGTGTGCATATACATAGTGTGTGTGTGTGTACACGTGTGAATATACATAGTGTGTGTGTGTGTACACATGTGCATGTGTGCATATACATAGTGTGTGTGTGTGCATCTGTGTGTATCTGTGTCTGTGACAGGTCCTTTTTGGAACTTAATACTTGTGAAGTTCCAGAGGCCCAACCTGTATTAACATCCCATGTAGCGGATCAAATGCTAACTCCCCAAACATATCTGCACCCTGTGGTGCTTGTCTGTCTTTTTGCTTGTTTGCTTGTTTTGTTTTGAGATGGGTTTCTCTGTATTGCTTTGGAGCCTGTCCTCGAACTAGCTCTTGTAGACCAGGCTGGACTCCAGCTCACAGAGATCCCCCTGCCTCTGCCTCCCGAGTGCTGGGATTAAAGGCGTGAGCCACCAACACCCGGCTACTCATGCCTCTTTGTAAAGAAAAACATATGATGGGATCTTGCTAAGTGGTTCCAACAGGACAGTTTGTCTGGGTCATTTCAGCCTCCCACACTCTGGGGCCAGGCATGGAGTCAGTGCTGATGGGCCCAGGAATCAGAAACAAACACCATGAGGATGGGCTGCTTTTCATAACAGCCCCTGCAATGAAAAGGAAATGAAGGGGGAGGCCACCTGCATTCAGTGTTTGAGGTGGGCACCTGTGCACTCTCCAATCAGACCCCAGCTCTCCCCGTGCATGCCTGCAGTTGTAGGAAAATGTGCAGCTCTAATACAGTCCAGCCTCAAAGTAGGAAGTTCACGTGGAGTGTGGGAGTGAGCATGACAACTTGGAGTTCCTTGCTATTAGATCATTGCTCCCAAATTGGCCCAGTCTTTCCTGGCAGCTACTCACCAAGAAGGAACTGAGGGGCAGACTTCTACAAGGACCAAAGAGGATTGAGGGGCAGAACCCTACTCTGATGAAGAGCAAACGGAGAGCAAAATCCTGCACCGGTGAAGAGGCATTAAGGCATAGACCCCCGACACTGACTGAAGGAGAGACTGAAGAACACAGTCCTGGCTCTTGGCTTGGGGTGAATGTGAGCCTCACCTTGATGCAGTGATAGGTGGCATTGGTAGCACACACCAGGTTGCTGTTGGGCCAGCCATCCAGGTCTGAGTCCTCCCCACAGATGAGCCCGTCACCGGCATAGCCAGTCTGGCACTCACACTTGTACATGGGGTCACTGAAGTGGCCCAGGTAGATGCACTCTGCATGCTTGTGGCAGTTGTGGGTCTTGTCCTTGCAGGGATTTTCCGGCTCGCACACCTACAGGACCAAGTGCAGACAGCACGTATTAGGAAAGGGAGGTGGCCATGGGAAGCCCTGAGACTGCGGAGAGGCTCATTGTGAGAGGACCTGGGGACTATGGCATCATGCTGGGTTCCCAATGCACTAACTTGGATCTCTCAGGAAACAGGCATGAGTATTTTTGACGGTTATCTGAGCCAGTTAAATACCATTTCTGAGCTTACCAAGCAACACAACCCGCCATGACTTTGTTGGGATCCCCAAGCCGTGGGTTAGAGTCTATATCCCCTCCTAGTGAGTGGTTTCTCTCCCTCTCTCTCTCTCTCTCTCTTTCTCTCTCTCTCTCTCTCTCTCTCTCTCTCTCTATATATATATATATATATATATATATATATATATATATATATATATCCCTCTCTCTCCTGCCATGCATTGACAACACGGAGAGCTGACCTAGATGCCTGCCTGGTCTTTATCTAGGATTTTCAGTCTCCAAAATTGTGATAAATAAGTGCCCGCCCTTTATCCCCACCCTGCCTCGGGTATCGGACTGACCAAGGTGTCACTGCTGCGCAGGAGTTCGCAGGCCCTTTGCATGAAAACACGGGTTCCGCAGGTCAGTAGGAGAGGCCCCAGACGAGCAGTACCCGAGAGGGTTCCATAAGGTAAACTCTGTCTCCACCCCTCCCTCTCTCAATGACATTGCCTTTCTCTTCCCTACCCATCCCCACTTGCCTAGGATCGTCTGACTTTTTTTTTTCCAAGACTTTAGAAACACAGACAAGCTCAACACCACTTACTTGTTTCTCTGTTTGAGCAGCCTCCAGGCCGACCCCGAAGGGCTGGCTCCCCTTGTAGCGAGGGGGACAAGGCAGGCAGTGGAAGCCAGGGTTGGTGTTGACACAGCGGGAGGCTTTGTTGGTTGAGAAGCAGATATCTGTGACCACAGCGCACTGTGAGGACAAACAGGAGTGAGCCTCCCTCCACACCTCCACAGGACACCCTGCTGCCCAAGGTGGAGGTACCAACCTCATCTAGGTCCTCACAGTGGGTGCCATTGCCCAGGAAGCCCACTGGGCAGGAGCCACAGGACCAGGACCCATCAGGGAAGCTGTTGCACTTGGCTCCAGGAAAACATGGGTTGGATAAACATCCATCTGCATAGGGGATGAGGGACAGGGGCTATGATCAGATGCCACACACATATGCACATGTGGGCATACACACGCACACATACACACACACACACACACACATTAGTGTGTATACCCTGTTACCCACCAGTGGGGTAGCTCCTTTCACACACATGCGCACACACACACATGCACACACACGTGCACATGCACACACACACACACATGCATGCACACACACGCACATACACGCACACACACACATGCACTATTACTCACCGATAGGGCAGCTTCTCTTGTTGCACATTTGATGTTCCTTCACATCCCCCACACAATCCTTCCCTCCATACTGAGGCTCCGGGCTATTGCAAACACGTGTCCGTTCACGGATCCCTCCAGCACAGGTGACTGTACAGGCCGACCAAGGGGACCAGGGGCTCCAACGGCCATCAACTGTAGAGAACACCAGGAAAGATGTCTGAGAGGGGGTGGAGGGATGGATCTATTGTTGACACTGGCAAGAGCAGCTCAAAGATGAAGTTGACATCCCGGCTGTTCCAATCAATGTAGTTGAAGAAAACTGTGTTCAAATGAAAGTGGAGGGCTTGGCTTACTGTGAATTTCCACAGCCATGATTCAGGGAGTGATACTGATTACAGAATTGTCAACAGATTGATTGCTTTGCCTCTGAGAGAAAACCCTTAGTCTTTTATAGCCTGAAGTCTAAGTTTCCTTACCGAGCCAGGTCTCCAGAGTAGACCCGTCTCCAGTCTGAAACACTTTATGGAATTGATTCTTATTGCATTGGGCAGAGAGGCGGTGAAGATCTGGGTAGAAGCAATCCCCCTGCATCCACACACCCCTCTGGGGAGGTCCTGGTATCCTAAGCTGTGAGTCCCCTAAGCTACAACTTGCTTAGACTCGGACAGCCCTGTCCTGAGACCTGCTGCTCAGCAGGTTTTCTGCTCCAGGTCTATTCACGGTCCTTCCTGGCTTATTTTTCTATAAATGACGACCTCTGTCCACTTGATCACTCTGTGCAAGGTACAAATATAGCAGTTTAACTAGGAGGGAGGGGAGGGGATCCAGTGATGGGCACTGATCTCAGAGCAAGAACAACCACACCCTCACAGCTCAAGGCTCGACTGGGCCTTGGTGGCCAGCATCTGTCATAGAGTGACGTCCCACTCAGGCATGACATCCCCACTGCCCGCGTCACCTACTTACCCGGGCATGGTGTACCCTGGCAGGCCTTGGTCTCCCGGCCGCTGCCCTTGCAGCTCTTGCCACCCATTTGGGGTACTGGAGAGTTGCAGAGACGTATGCGAGTGACGTTGCCAACCCCACACGTCACGGAGCACGAAGACCAGGGTGACCAGTGACTCCAGCCACCATTCTGCCGGACTGCCAGAGAAAGCACAAAGAGATCGATTTCTCGGGCTGTGACCCCAGGCCAGGCAATCCCCAAATCTGTCTTCCAATCTGTCTTTCCACTGAAGAGGTCAGGCAAAAGAGCACCACCTTCACCCAGAAGAAAGCTTCTCCATTGGCAAAAAAAACCTCCCCTGGGGCCATAGCCTCCAGACGCCAGCAAACAGCCATTGTTGGCATGCCCACACAGAGAGCCACCCACCCCTCCCTGAAGTATGGCGGGGTAAACTCACTTCTGGTATCACATTTGCCCAGGCTGCATGCCCTTGTCTGAATGGAGGGGCCCAGGCAGGTGTTGCTGGTGACATCACAAGACCGGCCTCTCTGCTGGGTCCCAGAGCCACAGGTGACAGAACACTCGGTCCACTCTGCCCACGGAGACCAGTCCTCACCATTGTCTGAAGCTAACCAAGAAAGAACACACACACACACACACACATGAGGTTGGTCTCTCCCTCTTCACATGCCCTAGGGAAGTCGGGCACTATAGTCATGTGGGGGCTTCTTTGGAAACATCTTAACAGGGTGGGGTTGGCAGAAGCCGGGCAAGAGTTGGAGTTCCTTTAAAGGGAAGGGCAGAGCACGGGGAAGAGAACACGGAGTGATAGAGAATGGAAGCTGATCCACAGAATGGAGGAGATACCTCCAAGGGAGAATGCCTACAGGCGGCCATTCCTACATAGCTCCTGTTGACTCATATAAAGTAACAGCACGTCAACCACTGGCTGAAATTGCAGCTTGCTGGATTTATGCCAACACTTTAAAGAAAATTTTTTTTTAAAAAAAGACAATTTTCTTGAAGAATGTTTCTCCCCCCCCCCCACTGGCACACATGATATGGTGTCCCATCGCTAGGGCTTGAGCTAAAGGTACTGTAGGTCTCCTAGTAGGGATCCCTCAGTAGAGATCCCTCGGTAGGGGTCCCTTCGAGCAGCTGCAAGGACAACACAGTACACACAGACAGGACACCAAGGCTGCCTGCTGTACTCCGGACCTCACTGATATGGGGGAAGCAGGCTCAGGTACCCAGTACTGTGGTACTCTAGCCTTGCTCTCTTCAACAACTAGCTGGGATTCTGGATACACGCCAGAAGGACAGACCAGGATAAAAATCTGAGCAGAGGCATCCAGAGCACTCAGGCATGGAGACTGTATCAGAAGGGCTGCCCACCCGTGCAGGCAAGGCTCATCCAGAGCGTTGGCACAGACAGGATCCACAGACCATAGGGCATTCTGAGTGAGGCATGGAGCTGAGTCTAGAAAGGGCAGCTCAGGCACTTCTAGGATTCACCAAAGCCCCCGGGACTCCTTCACGCCAGCCCATCTCCATCTCTACAGAGTCAGACCTCACAGAACTGGCTCCAACATACTCCAATTCTATGTAGCTTGGACCATGTCTCTGTAACTTGAATGCATCCCTGAGTAACAACCTCCGGGTTCTGTGTTTACTTACTGCATCGTGGGTTTCACGGCAACTACGCAGTCTTCACTAAGCCCAGGTCTACTCACACTGGCTACTGGCACAGGGGCCTTGTTCTTGGCCTGGGTAGTAGGGACTTTGGTCCCTGAAGGATCACTAGGGGCCTCCTTGTCTGGGATGAGCCAGAACGGGACAGCTGCAGGCACTTAATTTCTAGAGCTCTCAATAGCTTCCTGGCCCCCCGGCTAGTGGCTGAAGTAGAGCCTTAGCCACCACGCCTCTGCTCTGCCTCCCCTGCCTGCCTCTAGGAATCTGAGCCTCACCCTCTTCCAGTCAAGCCATAGAACAAATAAACAGATGCAACCACTGGGACTCAGAGCACCCTCACCACAGGAGACTTACTTACAGTGGGAACAGGACGGACAGCACTCGCCTTCCACAAAAGACGGGTTGGCGCAAGTGGCCGGTGAGCAAGTGATTTGATGACACACTGTTTTAAATTTCTGAAAAGAACGAACAGAAAAACATTTGGAAAACAGTTATCTAAGGCAACAGGCATTGCCACGGGAGCCGGATGAGGAAAGATCGGCAAGAGGGCTAGGTATTTTTCTGTCTACAAATCCCACTTCAGGCCCTTTGAGCACTGACACTCTGCCCTCCCACCATGAGCAGAGAGATGATAGCATTGGCTTCTGAGCCCTCCGGGTGGGGAAGAAGAAGGAGAAGGAGGAGGAGGAGAAGAAGAAGGAGGAAAAGAAGGACAGAATAGTCCCAGATGCCCCGATATCGGAGGTCAACACACGGACAGGGGGCAATGTGAAGAAATAAAGCACTTAGATTTTCCTGGTGGTGACTAGGCTTCCCAGGCATCTCTGTGAGCACTGAGACCCTGTCAGAGGTGACTGGGATCAAATACACACTAGAAGGGAGCTGGTATGGCTGCATTTCCCACTGTCTGTCTGCACATGGCAATGCTGAACAAGCCACTCCACCCTCTGGGGTGTGGTTTCTTTATGCACAGTGCCAAGAGGTCAATTTAAGTTACATCTGTGTTTGCTTCCATGCCTGAGGCTCTCTCACGTTGAGCCTTCTGTGTGTAGCTAAACACCTTTTACACACATGTGCTGAGCAGGTCGTTGTCACTCATTGGGATCTACGTGTGTCAGTTTGAGCATGCCTGCCCTGTGTGGGCAGCAGGACTCAGTGTCTGGAACTCACCTTGCAGGTGCACGTGGTACAGCTGTCTACAACCCAAGTTTCATTTTCTGCAAAGATTCGGCCCTCTTGCACACAGGCTGACATGTTTCTTGTCTTCACGGGGCCTCCGATGAGCTCCAAAAGGAACTGGTTGTCATTGGACTGGAAACAGAGGTGAGAATTGGGATAAGGACTCAATGCCCCCCTCCCAATTGAGGAGCTTAGGTCAAGCCCCAGGTATGGATACAACTGTGCATGAGGATACTAGGTCCTGGTAAAGACAGGTAGTCCTGCAAAACCACTTGAACTTGCGCAACAAAAACCTCATCACAGAACCCGGCTACACACGCTGCCTGTCACCAAGGTCTCCCTATCTCTTCCCTGCTCACAGCTAATACCCAACACACAGACATGCATAAGTACTAACTCCCTCAGCCCCTGGGCTGGGCTGGCCATGCCTCAAAAGACACCACTGTGCGAAGTGGGCAGAGGTCAAGGGATCGGGGAGAGGCTAACGTATGGATTCACTCACTCTTCCTTTTGCTCATCAGATGGGTTGTGAGAGATGTGTGATGAGGACCATCGCAAGGGGAAAGACAACCACAATACTGGCCATCTGGATATTATATTGTGTGTGTGTGTGTGTGTGTGTGTGTGTGAAAGCGTAAAAACCAGATGAACCTGCACTAAACATGTACATATTTGCCTTGGCTGCCTCAGAACTCTGTAGGTGCCCCCAAGGTACAATGTCTGAACTTGGGGTGAAACAGGCCTTGGGGATCAGATGAGTGTCCATCCCGAACCTTCAGAAACACACCACCTCTGTGGCTTTGTACAGCCTCAGGGGCTCACGTGATTTTCCTTGACCTCTGACCTTGAGTGGAGCAATAATGGAATATACATTACAGTTGTAGGGAAGCTGCCAGGCCCCATGCTCAACCCCTGCCTCTTCTGTGCTCCACTGTGGCCAGCCAGGACCGCCATTGTGCACTGGGCCTCAGCAATCCCCAGAATAGCAGTGAATTAAATGATGCCACCCAGGGACCCCTAGTAAGGGGCAAACTGAAGCAGGAGAAACCTCTGCCCAAAAGACAGCCCTGCAGAGTCCTCTGCACAGGCCTTAGCGTGGGACTTTCTCCCCTGGCGGTAGTGGAGCCTACCAGGAAGTGTTTGCATGGAGCTCTCCCAGCCCCTTTCTCTCTCTGTTTCCCACAATTCCATGGGCATCCCAGGGCGCTGCAGCCAGGAGAGACTGCACCTCTCATCTCCCTCGTCAAAGGCCACAAAGCACACTCTGGAGTGTGTGACCCTGTCCCCTGCTTCCACACACTTTGAGGCACTAAGGTTGAGACATTCATTCATTCCTCAAGCCTCTGGGCTACTCCTGTCAGCACTCAGCCCTGCACATAAAATGCCTTCCTCTGCATGGATGCCTTACTCCTTACAGATGTCTTCTGTTGTCTGGGAGGTGCATTTCCCAGAAGTGCAGGTTTATCTTGGAGAACGTGTGTCTCATGGCTGTGTCGTTATTTGCAATATTCCCTTGCATCTCTCTATCTTCCTCTCACTAACTTTGTGGTAGACCAGTGTCCTGAGGGGCCTGACCTGGATAGTCTCTTAATGTGGCTTTGTAAACAGAGTTTCCCCAAGGCACTGACCTAGGAGTCCTCAGAGGCCTGGTTGGCTGGCTGGCTGGAGGACTGGTTCTTGACACTTCCCTGACAGACTACCCTCTGTCCCCACTCCCCTGGCTCACCACCTCTGCCCTGGGCCAGGCACTCACCACTCTCTCCAGGTTCTTGCTCAGCTGGTTCACCATGACATGCAACCCAGACAGTTCATTCATCATGTTGCTCAGCTCCTCACAGGAGTGAGTGCACACTTCCTGTGTCTTCTCCACACCCTGGCCCACCAGGTCTGTGGTGATATGAGGGCTCAGGTGGAGTGTTTCTGTATGCTCACTGATGGTGTTGACTTCCGCTGAGGGAGAGAGAGTATGGTCAGTGCGGTTACAGCCCCTGAACCGTCACCTCTGCAGCTACAAACCAGCTCCCATGAAACTCTTTGCTTTCTTGGGGCGGCCACATGCTAAATTGCATCTATCAGCACGAGTAGATTTTATTCAGCACTTATTTCCATTTATTGTTTTAAAAAAATCTTTGGCTTATCTAAGGTATTTCCTGTTGAAGGAACCTACATGTTAGAAGAATGTGTTCAGAAGCTATGAGAGGTGTGGATGGTCTTGACCATGGACTGGACTATCTCCCCAGAACCCCCTCCCATCGAATTGGATTGTCATTCTTAAAGATCTATTCAGGATTAATCCTTGACTGTTTGCCATTGTCAAGGACTAAGAAGTGTAAGCTAGCTAGGAAACATGCCCACTTGACCCAAATCCACAGCAGGGCACACACACACACACAGATATGACCCAGCAGCAACCCACAAGGAAAGAACAAACACTCCTGGATTGGAGATCACCCACCTCCCTGGCTGTGTTGACAGCCCTTCTTGCTTAGAATATCTTCTATAGAATCTGCAAACACAAGATGGACATTCTGCAACAATCCCTGGAGGGAGACAGAGGACAGATCTTTAGCTAAACCGCGAGCTTCATGGAGACTGATGACACTTTAGAGACACGGAAGAGAAGATTCTGATAGCATGGAATCTGCTTCATCCCCTAGGTCTGAAGTTCCTTTATATCAGTTCCCCTAGTCCTGCTACTCTGGAACTGTTACTACGCACGCACGCACGCGCGCGCGCGCGCGCGCGCACACACACACACACACACAGAGGCATGCACACACACCCCCACACACGCATGCACACACATGCATGCAAAGATTTAGCAGAAAGAATTCTAACTAGGAGTAAATTAACCTTAGAGAAGAATAAAGAAAGCCTAGGGGTAGGAGAATTTTGTCCCCTATATGTCCCCAGGTAGTCATGCTGGCTACTTCCTCATGTGCAACTGGATTGCCACATCCTTGTTTGTAATTCAAGTCTCAGAAACATCTACTGGTTCAGATAAGGAAGCCCCTGGGTCACACCAGGAGGAGGAGGGAGCCAGTGATGTATCATGAACGGGCCAGACGGCAGCCCCTGACAAAGCATAGATATCTCGGCCTTTACTGAAATAACTAAGCTTTGACAAGCGTCCGTTTCCACAAATAAGTGCATGCCTCCAAGAGAGCAACGTTCAGATGTCCCCTAATCTGCGGTGAGAGAAGGATGGATATACTCATCAGAAGATAAAACACCATACGCTGAAAATCCATTCATCGCGTTTTACCTAGAGGATACACCTTTGGTTGCCCTCTGTGGTTATGGACTGACCAGGGAGTCATGGCTGGCCTCTGCCCGGCATTGAGAGGCCATATTGATGCAATATTGATGGACCACAGAGGGTCAAAACACAGAGCCTCAGTGTGGTTCCACTGTCTGGGAAAAGATGAATAAACCCCCAAGAAAGCCATTGTAACGGGAGGGGGCATCTGTGTGGCCCCAACACTGCAGGTTCCAAATTTTGTTTTAGAAGGATCCAAACGTCTTTAGCCATAGTGAGGGGACAGGGAGGTGTACACTCACAAAGCGGCAACTTTTCTTTGAGGAACTCATTTCCTCCTTAATGCCCCAATCATTTCTTTCCCAGCGCAAGGGCTAGGATATGGGGTTCCTGGGAACATGGGGGTTCCGGGTTCCTACCTCAGCAGTCGACTCAGGGGCCCACATGCAACATATCTGCCACACAGCCCTGCTTCTCATAACATAAGGATGTGCATTCTGTGCACGCTTCTTATGAATATGCACCGTTGCTACTGTGTGCACAGGTGCCATGTGTGCAGAGGTGTGATGCACATGTGATGCACATGTGTGCGTACAACTTCTTACGTGTCCTTTGTGTGTGTGTGTGTGTATGTATGTAATTCCACATGTCAGTATTGTGTTTTGTGAGCGCAAGTGTGAGTGTGTGTTGTGTGCACAAGTGTGTCAATGTGCACTTGTGTGCGGGTCTGTGGGCATGGTGTGCATGCCCCTGCCTGCTTGTGCAATGAGTGTGAATGTGTGGTGCGTTCACATATTGTGTGAGCAAGTGTGTTATACAAAAGTACACTTGTGGTAGCTGCATTTGGGGATGCGTGGTGTGAATGTGCCTGTGTGGTAAGTTCACACTCTTGAGTGTACACGTGTGTGCATATCATGTAAGTACAGGGGCCTCACGAGTGAGCACGTGTGGTATGAATGAATGCATATGTGGTATACGCGGGTGTGTAGAGTCAACACACGTGTGCCACATTAAGCGCTACACGTTTCCCCAAGGCAAGATTACACCTTTCCAGCACAGAAGCTACACTGAGTTTGCCCCATGCTGTGTGCTCCAGCAGAGCTCTGTCATACGGCTGCCCTGGTGCACACATACCCTGAAGTGGCTCTCTCGGGATGCACCTTTGGCCACATACATCCTGCTTCTGTCTGCTTCCAGCTGCTCATAGAATGGCTCTTCCAAGGTGACGCTGTCAATGAGATCGCAGCCCACGTACAGGCTGTAGGTGTCACTGGCCACCTGCACAGTTACATTTCTCCACTGGGAGTCAGACAGGCCCACATCCTCCAGGGAGTTGGTGTGCTGGGTGCCTTCTACCCAGTAGTTGAGGTCCAAGGTATCCCCTGGGCCATTGGACACAATCTCAAACTGCCTCTGGGAGGTGCCGGGGCCTTCCAACACCAGGAGTGTGCCCCGAGACTTGCGGTCCTGCTTCAGCTGGGCTGTGAGGAAGAAACCCTCCTTTCTTCTTGCAAGCTCGACAATCCTGCTGAGGTCATCTGTCTTCACTGGGGGGATGTAGTCAAAACGCACAAAACGGTAAGCGGGAACCCCAGGGTCGGGCCCTCGGAACTGCTTGGCACCGATGGTCTTCCGGTTAATGTTGCTGATGCTGAAAAGGTCAAATGAAGCGTCTTCACCCTGGTCACCAGCTGCGGAAGGGAACCACAGGGTGGCGGTTACCCACAGGCTGAAGGGGAATCAGGCTCACAAGAGACAAAATGAAGAGCTCATCTCCCATTCAGGCTGAGCCACAGCAGGCTCCTTGCAATGCTATAGGCTGGCTTTCTCCAGGGCAACAGTACAGAAAGTGTCCTTTCTGTGCCTTCCTCCATAAACACCTGCCCAAATCTCACTGCAGACCAGGCCTCTGAATTCCAACCCCTGATCCCTGTTGTTCTTTGCCCCAGATTCGGGTTGAGCACAGCCACCCCTCCACCGTGTGACTGGGGGAGAGGAGGACTGTTCAAAGCAGACCTTTGACTTCTAACTCTGGGATGTGAGGGTCCACTAAATCCTAGGCTGCATTCTCAGAATGATATCCAGCCTTGAACACAAGGTGTAGACATAGTCTCACTTCTACAGAAATACCTTCAATGTATAATAACTAGTCTGCCCCGTGGGTTACAACGGTGTACCTCATGACTATCAGTGAGTGGTCTGAAGTCACCGTCCAGCTGCCAATGTCACCAGACCTCATCAACACTAGAACGGGATCCATAATCTGAAAGAATACGCTGACTAGAAAGTTAAAAAAAAAAAAAAAGCATAGCTTCTTGTCAGGTGCCCAGAAACTGAAAACGAAATAAACTACTGCTCACAGGGGCACAGGTATTAGGTATTATCCCTTTTAATGAAGATATTGAAACTAACACAATTTAAATAATTAGAATCTGTGACTATTGCTACTAAAAATGGCAGCCCAAGTTTTATTTACTGTAAGTTGTTTCATAAATTATAATAAAGCAAAAGACCAAACTATGTGAAACACGTACCTTATTACTAATTTGATGGGGGGGTGTTCTTCTGTATATATATTTCTCTTATTGGTTGATGAATAAAACAATTTTGGCTAATAGAGTAGAGGCAGGAAGATAGGCGGGGCTAGGAGACAAGGAGAATTCTGGGAAAGCTAGGTAGAGAGGCGCCAGAGGAGCCATGTAGCTGCCAAAATAATAATAGGTCCGGGCATTCTCTGGCAAGCCAAGACTACACCACATGGAAATACATAGATTTATAGAAATGGGTTAATAATTAAGACAGACCTAGCCAATAAGAAGCCCTAGCCATCAGCAAACAGTTTAATCATTAATATAAGTCTTTGTGTGCTTATTTGGGGCAAGGCGGCTGAGGGACCAGGCTGGAAAGAACCTCCAGTAACACTAGTAACAGTGAGCTCATGTCTATTCCTAACGTCTCCAAAAGACAATCTCTCCACATGCTATACAGACTCAAAAGCTGATGGGACTTTTTTTTTTTTATTTATGAGCATATTGAGAAAGTTTCACACATGAGATGCAGGGTACAAGGTGCTTGCTGGTCTCTTGCCTGCAGCTAAACCGCACTGCAAACACAGACAAGGGTTATGTCCATACTCACCATAAGCTCTTGGACCCAAGCCCAGAGCGAGCAGGGCCAGTGCCCAAAGCATCCTGCCTGCACCGTGTCACTCAGGAAAGAACCAGTCTCGTGCGTGATGAGCACACAGCTGCAGGCTGAACGTCACTGGGAAGTTTGCTCACACGTGACCTTTGGGGCGGGAATAAAATAGTTTTCACACAAAAATCAGAAGCAAATGTATCCATGGGAAGCAAAACTCTAGACGAGAAACTTCCTTTCCAACCAGGTCCTTCTAACTACTATAAACATTTATCTCAATATTCCCTGACATGGAGATGAGGGGGTTCTAAACACTCTTGCTGTGTGGTCACCATAACAACTTGGGGTTCCTGTGGCTGAGACTATGCCCTTGCTCTTTGGGAGAGTAAATGGGGTTGGGGGCATGCCAGAGCATTGTCTCCTGGAGGAACTGTGCTATAGACCAATTGCCAAGACAAGTCCAGGAGAGCTGGACCCAGGCAAATATGCTCTGTGCTGAGAAGAATCTGGACAGGCGTTCTAGGTAAAAGTCCAGGGCAAACCAGCTGTGCATTCCTTAATTAGACACAATACTAACTGCAGTTCAAAGTTAGGAATAAGCGGTGCATCTTCTCAGGACAAGCAGAAGCTTTTGCTCAGTGAGCATTTCACCCTCTTCTCTGGTCTCCTGAAGGCCTGTTTTTCCGTTCTCAGGGATTCTAAGTTGGCTCACTGGACTCTGGATCAGAAGTCAGGAGGCCTGGCTTGAAGCCCGGCTCCTCTGCTCCTGCTCCGTTAACTCCTTGTGAGCTTCCCTGTGCCCGGGTCGAAGCTCCCCATCCGTCGGACAGGAAGGAGTCTGACCCACACACTGTAGTCCATCATCTCTGTTAGATGGATTTTCATTGACAAGGACACCTAACCAATCCCCATCCCCAGAGTACTTAGACAAGCTGGAAGCAGTGCCCTCCACAGAGGGAGAGTTTCCTCTCCAAGGGAAAGCGATGAGGCAGGATCCCCAGTCTTCTGCTCTGGTCCTGATTCCCACAACACTGCTCAATGCTCATCTACTGAGCGCTGGGTCATGTTGCAGGAGGCAGCCTAGCAAACCTCCCACCTGAGCCCTTAACATCACATCAGCTTGTCCACCCAGGTAATCCTTTCATCCTCTGACTCCATCTCCTTGCAGACAAACAAATAGAACACTAACTCTTAAAATATATGACTATCTGAGGTGTTAGAGAGAGGCCCTGTGCAAATGAATATCCAAATGGGCCCCTCTGGAAATAGTGTTAAGAGTCCTCCAAGCCCCAGAAATGACATTTTTCTGAAAATTGAAGAGCAAGGTAAACCTTGTCAGGTACTCAGAACAGAACTGAGACCAGTGACAAAGTTGAAAATCTCAATTTAGTCCACATCTGAAGGCTGCAGCCTGTCCTACCCTTGAATCCCAAGTCAGGCGTGTACCGCAGGACACCTGCCCTTTAACCTCCATTCCCAAATTTAACCTTATGTCAAGGACAGTCGCAAGATGCTAGCTCCAGCAAAGGCGAGCTCCATCTCAAAATGGCATTCTGCAAGCAGAGTACATGAAACTGTGTTTTGGTTAAAATAATAAAATAATAATAATAATAATAATAATAATAATAATAATAATAATAATATATCAACCAGGAATGCCACAAACAATCAGCGGTCTCCTCTTGCCGCCTAACCAAAACCAAAACAGAACAAAGGAGTGAAGAGAATCTGTCTGCTACTGAACAAGCCTCCTGGCAGCCAGGGTAATTGAACCCCAGCTCCATGGGCGCTAGGCTCATGCACACACTACTCCCCTGAGTTCAAGCCTCTCCCCTTTACCACAAGTCCACACGGAAGGCTTGTGGGTAGGTGTTCATGGAGGTTTTCTGCAACATGGTATTATCACAACTTGCATGGGTCTTACACAGGTTCATCTCACAGGAACAATCAAAGAGAAAGTGCATTTGCTGGGTGCACCCGATGCCCCCTCAACACCTGTTGCCGTGCCCTCCTCTCCTCCCTCCTCACCAGACTAGTCTCTTTCGGCTGCCCCTGCATACCAGCTGCAACAGCCCCTTCAGTGCCCCCAGCCCACCCCACTGCACATTATAATGACAGGAGCACTTTGTTCGGCTGCTAACAATGTTTAGATTTCGGGTTGCTGTAAGCCCTCTGATTATTTTCACATTTTCGAGGGATCCTTCCTCTGCTTCCCCCTCCACAATGAACTCCAGTGTAGAAACTTCTTATTTTGAAGTCGAATCTGTTCCCCCCCCCCCAGCATCCTAGGAATAAAGTTTTGCAAACCCTCACCTCACTGAGATCCCGTTGTGGGAAACCCTGCGGCCAAGGAAGCAGTGACTGTTCCTGGCGGGTCTCTAACTGTGCAGGGCTAACCTGGGCGAGAGAGACCGCTCTGCTCAGTGTGGGAGGGCGCAGCTGCACGTTTTCCCCCTTCAGCCTCCTGCAAACCACAAGCCTATTCTGGAAAATCGCAGCCTGATAAAATGCCTTAGAAATAAAAAGGTACCTTGTGTGTTTGAAAATGAATGATGGCCGATGTCAGTATTCTAAGTCTGTCCTCAGAAGGGACCTGGCCAGGGAGGCTGCAGACAGCAGAAGATTTTCCTGCCTCCGGGCAGTGACCAGCTCCTTTATACGCCCTTTCCCCCAAGAGGCCTGTCAATCAGACACACGCGGAGGCACGTTTAATTCATTCTTTTGAAGGAGTGTCATAATTCCTCCTCTGCTCTCACCATTTGCTCAGAGTACCTGCTGTCTCAGTCCAAATCCAGCCCCTCTGGGCCGACGCCCCTCCTACATGTCCACCCAGGCTTTCCAGACAGGGCCCGGAGGGGGAGGAGTCAGACAAGAGGGGCAGGCAGGGACTCACTTTTCCTGTCTTCTCTCAGGAAATAAAATGCTATAAATAAAACCAGCGAGATTGGCTGGGACTCCCCATTTTGCTGAGGAGGGGGAAAAAAGCCAATTCTGTGCTTAAATGTGTTTCAAATTACCCCATGTGGTACTGGCCTTTCCAAACCAAGTGAGTGACAACCAGAAAGACAGGGGAGAGCCTGCCGGTTCATCACTGTGCTGAGAAGTTACTCTATTCAACGAATTGATTTCTGGCATGTGCAGAAAGGAGTTACTATAAAAGAGAGGAGCCTACCCATCTTATCTCTGACCCTGGGAAGTAGCCCTGCTTCTGGAAGAACATATTTTAATCTAAACTCACTTTCTCTGTGCAGTCAGGGCCCTGCAACCAAGGGAACTTAGTCCTCAGCCAAGTCTTGTTGGGACAGCTAGCTTTCCCCAGAGTGGGAATCCTGTAGCCAGAAACAGTCTTTATAGTTAATAAGATAGTGTGGGAGCAGGTCAGGGACTCAGTGAAAATATAGGGACAGGAACTGATGCCCCCCCCCACACACACACCCTGCAATTTATACCAACAAAGTCAGAAGGGACAGATCATGAGTGCAGGAAGAGTAAGGAAGGCCAGTGCCCAGGTGGGTGATAGCTAGATTGAAGGCATGGTTTAAATGAGTTCACCAGACCCAAGATAAGTGATAAATAGGGAAGGACTTATACAGATAAGAGTAAATAAGCTCCCAGGTCTTCCTACTCCAAAAGAAGCAGTCTCTGCTCTTTCAATGCTCTCTGAAAACCAAGAGAGCAGGAACCAGCCCCTCCTCTACCTTTCACAGGTCACATCTGCACCTGAAACCACGCCCAAAAGGTGTGGCCACTACTACAAGTTCACTGATAAGGCAAGATGCAACCACTAAACAGGAGGAGGGTCATCAAGCAAGGAAGACAATCAACATGGACCATGAAGGCAGGTGGATGGATCTCTGTGCGTTTGAGGATAGCCTGGTCTACAGAGCTCGTTCCAGGACAGCCGAGGCTACACAGAGAAATCCTGTCTTGAAAAACAAACAAAAAAGAAGAAAAAGAGGAGGAGGAGGATGAGAAGGAGGAAAAGAAGAAGAAGAGGAAGAATAAGAGGAAGAGGAAGAAGGAGAAGAAGAAGAAGAAGAAGAAGAAGAAGAAGAAGAAGAAGAAGAAGAAGAAGAAGATGATGATGATGATGATCTGGACCAACAACATAACTCAGGAATAAAAGCGCTTGCTACGAAGCCTCACAACCTAAATTGGATCCTTTGAGCCCACACGGTGGGAGAAGAAAACTGACTCCCACAAGCTGTCCTCTGACTTCTACTCACATGCTTTGGTACATGTGTGCAAACATATACACATACCTCAAATAAGCAAACCAATGAATCAAATATAATGAAAATCTAAAATGAATATGTTTCTAGCTCACAAACAGGGAAAATTAGCCTCTCATGGTACATGCATGCCTTCCTCCTTTGAAGGAAGATGTATTGCTTTGAATCACTTAGCTGATGACCAAAGTCTTAATTGTAACTAAAATAATCAGATTCAAATTTCAGTTTTGGATCCAAAAATGAAAGGAAAGCATCACCAAGGTCCCTGAAGGGGCGGTGCCTAACTGTTCATAGATCCACACCCTGTACGGTAGATACTACAAGGTTAAGCTGAGGGGATAGGGTGTGGGGGGGGGGGTACACACAGTCTCCAGCCTACTCAGCCTGTAGGGCTCCAAGCTGCTGCTGATGTATAGACAGACTTTACCTTTGAATCCCCCACAGTGTGTGGGCGGAACATTGGAAGGCTGGGAACAGCCCCCCTCCCCACCCCTACCCCCACCCCCACAGGGACACAGGGGTAGTGGAATCAGGGTTGAAATGAGGGCCTAGGGTAGAGAGATTGCTGAGGGTGATGTCTGAGTCCAGCCGTGACCATGTGACTATCCTAGGCAGGAAGTTATAGGGCTGGTGACATTGGCTACAGCACAAAGGGTACTCTCCCAGATACGTTTCTTCTCGGCGTCCTTGGAAGGGGTGTGACGTACCAGCAGAGCCAGTAGAAACATGACGGAACAGCTGAAGGTTCTCAAGTGCAGGGAGACATCCAAGAAATGCACAGGGTGAGGAAGGGACATGTCCCAGAGAGGGGTTGACAGAGAAGGTCTGAGGGATTGTGTCCACCAGAACCCATGGATGTTAATCTCCCGGGACCAGGCTTTGCATATAGAATGAAACTAAGATGAGATCATGTTGAAGGAGATCGGCTCTCACTAACTCCTTCTGCCCTCATTAGAAGAGAAAAACTTCAACCCGGTGAAAGCATGATACCGATGGGAGGGACCTGGCCACCCGTGCATGGCAGCAGCATGTGTTGAACGCCGTAAAGCCCAGCTGAATGCAGCCAGGGTCTTCGGTTCTGTACCAAGCTTGCCTTTGGTATTTGCTACGAACACGCCGTGCTTTCTATGAGTAACTGGGACTGCCCAAAGTGGCCATTGACAGGCCTTTCCCTCTACCTGGCAGCTTTGGGAAGATAACTCTCAGTTAAGCATCCTGTTTACTGACACCAACACATACCGCCTACACGGCAAGTTGGTGACTTTGTGCACTTCACACTCTTCTAAGGACCCTCTGGCAGTCTCAGAGGATCAATCCAATCATTGCTGAAGACATGCTCCAGCCACGGACACGCCAGGAAGACTACAGTAATAAACTCTAGATGACCCTGCAGTTATATTCATCTAGACCAGAGGAAAGAACTTTCCCTGGTGGCCCAACAGAAGGGCTGTGATTGGTACAACACTTATCTTTCATTTTCATGGACAGCTGTGCTGTGACTGATCCAGATACCCTTGCCGCGTCCCTTTCTGTTTACACGAGCAGGTTCGCTTTTCAAGCCAAGTGGAGGACACCCTTCAATGTTACTCCTGGAACTGAAACATTGGGCCCAGTAAAATTATCCTTCCAACAGTCTTGCCTTTGCTTACTTCTGATTCTATCACAAGTAGAGCAGCCTGCTCTGAGATAACATGAAGAAGGGGACACGGAAAAATGGCAACAATAACAGTGGCAGAAGTTCCAGAGAGTGGCTGGGGCCACAGCTTGTGTGGCCAGAGATGTCAGAGAACAGTATAGCGATAAAGAGGATTACAAAGAAACCTGGAGCTCCACTCCTGGAAGGATTGCTAGTCTTAAGGCCGAGGGTCCTGACATCCTTGACATCCAAGGCTTAAGGACTGTGACCCTTGATGCCATTAGGAACCATCGTTCACAACAGAGAGGGTTTGAGAGCTGTAACATTAGATGGTTCTGATTGCTTCTCCTATAGCAGCTGCAAGGAACCAGAGGTCAATAAGCCGCCAACCTGAGTGTTTGAAGCTATGTGTCTCTGACCCTAGAAGCAGACCCTCAAGTCTGCCCTCTTCTGGCCAGAGCCTGGCCTAGTCGAAGGAACCTGACTTCAGACTCCTCTCATTTAACCCTCACCTAGCAAACAGACCCCTCTCATAATGCTATCACCTCACAGATGCCTCGTCTCCGTCTTCGTCTCCGTCTCCGTCTCTGTATTACAGATACTGTTTAAAAGCCAGCCCTGTAAGTGCGACACAACCAGCAGGTGGGAATTCCCACCACAGAGGACAGTTCCCACTGACCTACACTGTCTCCGTCCAGCTCCAGAAGGAGAAGCGGCGGCGTAGCCCGTGGTGATGACTTAATGGCAGGCAAGAAGAGGCAGAGAACAGGTCAGTGAGCGGGGAGAGGTTGGAGAAAGGACCCTACCTATACACCCCTGCTGTGAGAACTTCCTCAAGCAGGACAAAGCCTTATAGTGATGGCAAGACAGATAGAAGCCCTTGGTCACGAAGCAAAAGGTCCTGGCCAGCTGACAAGATGAGCTAATCTAATCATACAAACTCTGGCCCCGGAGCGGAAGGTCAGTGTGATCCCCACAGAAGACAAGTTCTGTCAGATTAGTGCTTTCAGAATGCAGGCATCAGACGCCCACGTGTGGCTGAACTGTGGTCCACAGGGAAGCATTCCAAGCTCATCTTTTGAGAGTAGCGGGGATACCGTGCACATGACAAATACAGCAGATAGGACTGTGGGCATCTATCTCCCCATCACGCTCCACCCCCCAATCCTGAGACTGGGCAGAGCATTCTCAGGGGACAAACTGACCAGTGATCAGCTCAGTTGAATGTCCATGTGGACTAGAACATGAAGTTACATGTATGGGTCGGGTAAGGGGGCCTACTTTTCACCTGGAGCCCACAGTGCTTAAACTCAGCAGCATGGCATCAGATGCTTTCACTGGGAAGAACTCTGGTTCCACATGCCCAAGCACACCATCCATGTTGCCCGGTGTGAGCAGGAGCTAGCACATGGTGGGAGCTACTGTGGGCAGAAGGAGCCGAGCATTTGGACTCATGGGAATTCCAAAATTGAAGATTCAGGTTCTCCGGTCACATTTCCAGAGAGTCGTTCTGGATCTACAAATAAGAGGAAGGGCAAGCTTAGACTTGGAGTGTCGGGAGTGTGCTTGAGGAACAAGGGACCTGGAAGGGTACAGAGATACTAGGAGTGTGGCCCTAAGGTCACCCATTCACCCACTTGTGCAGGGGCTCTCTGGAAGCTGGGGTGTAGAGCCCAAGCACCATAGCAGCAAAGGACAGATTTGTTTCTCACTGGGTATTAAGGATTACAAGGGACTGAGCTTCTTCTTGGTGGTATCAACCATTACATCTGTGCCAGTGGTACCAGCTGATGCTTGAAGCCATCTTATAGGGTTAGAATATGTCCTGGCCTGCTTTGAGAATACAACTTGGCCATCAGCTGATTATCACAAAGGCCTTGAAATAGACAAGGTCACACCGGGGAACAGAAGGGGA